ACAGACACCTCCCTTCCACCCTTTGCCTTCCTGTGGTTGACAGATTGCTGGAGGCAGGAGGCAGGGCTGGGGAGAGGCGCTATGCTGGCTTGGCTCTGAAAGAGCTCAGGGGCAGGGCCCACTGGGTGATTGGCCAGAGCAGCTGAGCATAGGCTGAGTGTTAGCACACTCCATGCAAAGGAGTCTGGGATGCTGGAGGACACTGATCTAAACTGAATCAATAGGGGAACTGGTACAGAAGTTGGATGTGCCTTTCTAAACTAAACTGATCAGATTTGAATTCACATTGAACAATAGTTCCACCATTTTTAGACCCATCTGAGTGTGCCAAACTTCCGTACGGTTACAGGTTTAGACTGATTGTGATTACTTAAACCAGTCTAAATGTTATGTGTGTACCTTGCCTTGGTGTAATATACAACTCAGTATCAAAATTTAGTCTGTGAAAATGTCACAGACTGTTATCCGGTACAAGTTCTTTCAAATAATCTTTGATGGAGTGGAGTAGTACCCCTTTTTACAGATATAGGTAACAGAAGAATGTGTTACATTATCTCATCTTAAAACTCACTAAGCACTGTAACTCACAGTGACTCAAAGTAAAAGAGATGCCCATGTCATGACCAGGATTAGCTGAAAGAAAATCTTGCTCAGACCACCAAATATTCTCTCCCTCTTTCTCAAAAACACAGAAGATTAGATGCATTTAAGTAACAGTATCAGCTCAGATTTCTATCTTTTACTCTGTTTACTTCCCTTAATTAATTGTTAGAACATTCAATTCACTGTATTCATGCACTGTAATAACAAATTGGTATTTTTTTCTGAAAAAACTCCCTGCCATATATACATATTTACCTGATCATTCGTAATGGATCCAAATGTCCTTTTCGGAGCTGTTTTAGGCTGTCATGTAAATACAAAATTAGAGAGGTTTTAAAAAAAAAGTGTAACAGTCAAGGAGACTAGTAAATACACAACTATTTAAAGACAGACACTGAACATGGTACATTGTGACAGGTCTTTCAGTGCAGCTGACAGGTCAGTATATAGAATCTTAAGCTCCTAAGGTCCAATCTTGCACAAACATAGGCAGTCTCAATGAACTCAGTGGGAGTACACAGAATTGTGCAAAGAAATCTAAGCTTAGAAACAAGTGTATGCATGACTCAGTTGTTAACAAATCCCTGATGGAATGAACAAATCAGTGTAGCTGATATTAATATGGTCTGTTGTGTCCAAGATGACTTAGGAATTTAAGTCTGCAAAACAGAAAACTGATATACTATAAGAGTTCTAGAGGATTCCAATGAGTTAATAGATCACAATGGCTTGTTCTATAAATAAAAAAAAGGCTAAAATTTTATAGCAACAATGTACAATGCTGTGTGATGCATAAGCACTCTAGATTTAAAAAAGAAATAATTCCATTTACTATTGTTTTTGAGACTATCAAACAGTATTTGTTCAAATTATGTATGAATGAGGAGCAGTTTCTGTAAAATCCATTGAATCCTCAAATTTCATCAAGGGCAGGCCTCAGCACCTTCTGTATCAGGCCCTAATTGCTAGAAAAAACTTATTTGTAATATCTAATACCCTAATCCAGCAAAATCTTATGTACATATTAAACTTCAAGCATTTTATTTCAAAAGTTAAGTTAAACATATAATTATAGAACTGTTTAGCTAAGATGCCTTTTGTACCAAGGTCAGCATAAAGACAGTATAATAAATGTTAAAAATGGCAACAAAAAACCCCCCAAAAAGCAATTTGGTCCTACAGAGTTCAGCCAACTTAAATCCTAAACTCTGGAATTAAAAAAAAAAAAAAAGAAAACCATAGTGTTGACATCAAATTATGTAGAACGTTGCTTCCAAAGCATCCCAAAGTGCTCTGAGAAAATCTAAAGGAATAGCTCATCTGCTTGCTAGATCCTGAACATTTCTGGGTATCAAGGTAGAAATTATCTTCAGTGATTCTAAAACATACAAGAGAGGTACCCATCTTCTGGTGATGTTGTAGCAAGAAGCCTTTTTTCGCCTGCCCCCCCCATCCCTCCGCCCCAATGTGAAGTCCCTCCATATGGCAAAAAGCCCCTTTTGCAGTATTTCCCCCTTTTGGAGATGCTTTCTCTTTTCTACCTTTTCTTCCTTCCTCCCTTTTCTTCTTTTATTATATTATTTTTATAGAATATAAGATGTACTTGTAATAAAAATATAGTTTGTAACTGCTTTTATGGGTATAAAATAGTATTCTGCATCACTATGTCCCCCTACCCCCCATTGCATTTGGTCTATTTGTTGTATGTGCCATGGCATTTCACCCTTTTGTGTGTTATATTCTATGCTTTTTAACTTTGTAACACATGTACTTTAAGTTTAAAAGTAAGTTGTACCATGTAACAATGTAAGCAAGGGCGGGAATCAGACCACAACTTCTTTGTATGGAGCGGGTCCCTGAATGAATCTTGACTGATTGCATAGCACAGTAGCTAGACAGGAAAACAAGTTAATGAGTGGCAATTAACACCTACAAAACCACAGACTAAGGAGAGGAAAGGATCAATACAGAACCAGGAACTCCCTGAAACTTCACTGTTAAAGGTACAGAAGCCCCAGTTTGAATTAATCACAGCAGTGAATTAATCAAACTTTATCAATGGACACCCAAGACTGCACATACCTGTGGACATGACCCCTGGGGCTGACAGCTGCCATCCAGCAACCACCAACGGGGGACATCCCATGACATCAAAAACCCCTGGATTGGGTAAGCCTGAAAATTGGGGAGTCACCAAAGTCTGCCAGAGGGGGATAAAAGGTAGCAAAGAATGACCCACCATGGCACCCTCTTTGACCTGACCAGCACCCTGCCTGCCCAGCCAGAAGGACCAGCCAGCAACCCCCTTCTGAAGCAACATCACACTGAAAGAAGCCTCGACTGGCCACCAACGGCGGACTCCAGTGCTTGGGGATAGGTATATCATGACATTGGTGCTTAGTGTTCATAGCTAGCTACTGTGGGGGGGGGGGGGTGCGTGCATGAATGTGTGTGTGTTTGAGGGGATCAGCCCCAAGGTTTATGATCTGACTTTTGCATCTGTCTAATAAACTAGAATTTTATGATGATCCTGTGAGTTGTTCCTTTGTAGTCAACAATATGACAGGCATTCCTGCAAAACACCAAGTGTAGCAGGGTATCAGAGAGAAAAGATTATAGAAATCACAGAAAATTAGGGTTGACAGCTGGAGAGGGGGAGGGTGTCATCTGCTGGAAAAGCCTGAGTTGCTATTCAACATGAGAACCCATCTCACATGCTATCCGTTGCTCCTCTATGTCATGCTGACCCCCTCAGATGAGTTTATGATTGCCACCACTGTTGACACACTGAACACATGACCTGATCTTAGGAGAGGTGCTCCAGCTGCCTAAGAAGAGTCCTACCATGCACCGCCCTTGGCTTCCTAGGGGGTGCATGGCAGAAGGTCATCTAGTCCAACCCCCTGCTCAAAGCAGGACTATCCCCAACTAAATCATTCCCTAAGGGTAGGGAAAGACATTCAAAAAGCCTGAGCCTGAACTGATTCAATCTTTGCAGGTTAGTCTAACCTGGCTAGGATAAATCAGTTTTGTAACCAGACAGACATCCCAGAAATGTTGGCACATTTCTGCAGTGGCTCAGGCTAGCAGCCGGGGGATGCTAGAGCAGCCCTTCCTTCCCTTGGACAGTGCTGAGCTGAGGCCAGCAGGACGTTTCGATTATGGAGGGGTTCCCCCACTTCTGACCAGCCCAGCAGGGAATTGATAACAGTGTTTATCACCCCTAACTCAGTGTTTATCACTTCATTAAGAAAAGAACAAAGGGACATTACCAACTAACTGTTGATTTTCCCTTTGTCCTGTCTGCCACAGCATGGACTATAGCTCGCATGTGGTCCACTAGCTAATGTGGTGTGTCTATGTAAGACAGAGGGGACAGCAGAATCCCTGGGAGTGGGAAGCCAGGCAGATGCCTGCAGTCTGTGCCAAGCTCCAGCCTGGGAGCAGAGGGGAGGGCCCAGCCCTGCTGTAGAGCAGAGAGCTCTACCCAGCCCAGAGAGCATGCCAGGATGCTGGGGGTGTCTGATTTAACTTAAACCAGCAAGGGGTCTGGGACAGACATTGTAGAAATTTGGTTTGACCCAAATCAGTTAAGTCTGATACTACATTCAACCAGGTTTACCTCAACCTGGTTTCAGCCATTCTCAAACTGGTTGTGTGCACTGAAAATCTCTTCTGTTTCAGGTTTAAACCAGTTTCTGACCACTTAAAATGGTTTATGTGTAATGTCTGTTCCTAGCCTAAGAGATGGAACTAAGCATTCATCCTCTCTCTCTCTCTCTCTCTCACTATTTCACTCTGCAGACTACACATGGTAGCTAAAACTAGTGACACAAGCTTTGGAAAGGTAATTCTGAAACCATTCCCACTTTACTCCTAGACAAAACACAAGAAAGATGCATACATGGAAAAAATAACAGCACCTGCACATACACAACCCCAGTATCCTTACAACTCAGAGGCATTTGGGGAACAGAGACACTTCATATTTCCCATATAGTATTATATAGTAGCTATAAAATGGGCAGCTTGTTTTGGAAGCAAAATCTGAAAATTAAAGTTACATTTTTTTCCAGTCATGATATGACTTACGTAAAATGTCTGAATTCCTACAGCAAAGCTAAACCCACTGAGCATAGAGATACAGTATATAAACACTAATAAATCCAAAACAATAATAGTGCAAGTGTCATAGCTCTATAAAGACACACAGATCCCTAATATGCTGTCCCAGCTTCCCAGCAATGCCACAACTGCCCTGGATCCCACAAACCACTCCTGGGGCCAGTTTTACCAGAGTTCATTGGTCTCAGGAGCTAGCAGCTTCAGGGGGAGTTGGGGGATTAGTGGGATCAGGTAACTCTGTCCCCAAAATGGCCTACTTTTAGCCCCCAGTCCCTCCACCCCCAGACAACCCCCCCTGTATCAAACTAAACCCTGACAATCTTTCATGCACCACCTCTCTCCATCAGTTCTCAGCACCAGCAAACACCAGCAAAAACAACACCAGAAGTGGCTTTCAGGATCTGGGTGTTTGGTGGGGTCAAGGTGGGAGCAGGCTCACTGTTTCATGGGGGGGGGTTGTCCATCTGAAAGTTGGGGGACCAACCCAGGGCTAAAAATAGCCTGGTGCTGGGGGAGGAAGGAGCAGGTTGGAAAAGTGCAGCCCTGAGACTGGGGATGGTGGATGGGTTGTCCCAGTCCTGGGGCTGCACTGGGAATGTGGACAAAAGTTCAGTTAGATCAGTCTAGCCAACCTAATCTAATAACTTAGTGCACCTCTTAGATACAATTAAATTAGGTTGGGTCAACCATTTTTTGTCTGATCTAATCTTCCTGCAACTTCTGTACAGCTCGCACTTAAATCAACCTATTGAGGGATCTAAATGTAAGGTCCACACATGTGCAAACTAATTTAGATCAGGTGGCCATTTTTAACATGATCTAAGCTCCCCAGACATCTGTATGTATCCTGAAACATTAGACTAAATTATAGCATACTCTCATTTAAATCTAACAGGATTGTTACTTCCCCTGTGTACTGAACCCAGTGGTCGTGTCCAGCTGACTATGGACATGAGGTATGTGTGCACATGCAGGTGTTCCCCACACTGCTACCTGGTAGTGTGGGGTCAAAAAAAGCCACATTGAAAAAAAGCAGGATGGTACACATGGTGGTAGCACACATTGCCCCAAACCTGAGCCATGCTCTAGCTGCCAGCCAGGCTTCCTGCCATGGATGCAGTCCAGGAAGGCCCCCAGGATCCACCCCACCTGGGGTAACCTGCCATGTGCCAGAGTGA